CAACTGGATGAGAATCAAGTATGAATTGCTCTATTATGAAGTTATTAATCCCACTAACAGCCAGGCAGCCTGCTAGCAGCACGTTCTTCAACATTATATCAGATATTACTGGCTTGCTACTACCAGTATTAGCTGGAATAAGCAAGCTACAGTAAGCAATCTTAAAACAATCTACTTCTTCTTGTGCCAACAATGCAGAGATTCACAGGGACATTTAGCACTGAAAAATGTTGCAGTTCAGCCATTATGGTCATAGAGACAGATCTACAATAAAGTATATATGAAGCTTCTGTAGGAGGCTGCTTCAAAAGTTTTCTTAAGGTTCTTATGCGTTAGAATAATTTTAGAGACTAACAGAACAATTACTCCCAAATTTAATTGCATAAAAGATAAAGTATGTGGGCCCTATATACTTGGGTTTTTTTAAGGGTGGAAGATGTCTGCAATGTGAAGAGAAACTAAAGACTTTCATTTGTGCAACGGAAATTCCCTTGCTCTCTTCCCTCTCAGATCTGTTTTGGGGGAGGTGGGCGGATCACAGCGGGAGAGGAGAGCAAGGGGAAGTTCTGCTGCACAAGGGGAAGTCTTTGCACTAGCAAAACAAGTTTATTGGATGCAACTCAATGGTATTAAAATGAACCAACAAAAAGCTACTAAGATGTGTATATCCAGCACAATCAACCAGGAATCTTGAGACACCTTAAAAACAACACATTTATCATGGCATAAGTTTTTGTGGACTAGAAGCCAGCTCCTGTTGCACTTTTATGCCATAAAAGTTGAAGGTTTTTAAGATGCCACAAAATTTTGTTTTTCTGTGAAAGAGTAACACTATCATTCTGGAAGTCTAGCCATCACTGTAAGTTATATTTTCTGTAAGACTATTTGGAAAATAGCCCATGAAATGCACAAGTTCATAGCAGTTTCAAATTACAGCTGAAACTGTAACATTCTCAAATCATATATCCTGCACAGAACTCTGGTGGCAACCCCAACTATGCATAAGCCTTGGGGAAAGAGGGAATTACATTTTTTTAAAAAAAACCTGTGAATGCTTTCTAGTCAGAAAAAACTAGATAAAACCATCAGAAAACTCTTTTGAATGAGACAATATTAAGACAGTTAACAAGAAGGAGTCAGTTATTATTTACCTATTATTTTAAATGCACATGCTAAAACTGTATACCCACTTAGCTCAATGAACTCAGTGCACCTTAGGGATGGTTTGATTGACAAAATGAAGTCATCCTGTTCACACATGGATTTACATGTTGGAACTTCTGCTCCCTCGCCTCTCCTCCTGCATGCACCCAAATCTGGTCCAGAGGGATGGAGGAGCTGCTAGAACAGATTTGGGGGCTGCACAGAGGGAAAAGAGGGAGGGGAAGTTCCACTGCACCCACTAAAGTCCATGCACAAACTGGACAACTGAGTAAATCTGTATAAGTTTGTGCTGTTATTTTATTTCTTGTTTAGACTCCCAAAAAACAAATTAAAGTTAAGTCATTGTTTTTATATTCTACATTTTGGGAACAAAAGGTCCAGAACCATTAATCTGCCAGAGTTGATTTGTGATTCACTCTCTCTCATATTGTCCTTCATGTATATTAATTAGCAGGAGGTCAGGAAATCAAAGGGGCCATGTAGACACACATTCACCTCCCCAAAGCTTGTTCCATACCTCCCTTTGACTAAAGTCCATCACATATTACAAAAGTTGCTCCGTTTGATGGGACAGCCAGAGTTACAGCCAGGAAAGAGAAAATCAGCAACTAACATGTACCTGAGTGATAATACAACAGCTCTTCAGATCTGAGTGCTTTACCAACAACACCATAAACCTAGACTAGGCTGTATCATCTGTATTCAGGATCCTGAAAAGGAAATATATCCTCCAAGAAACAAGGCCAACTTTTTTAAAGGGAGTTTCCATCAAAAAATATTTTAATCAGATAAAATATTTTTTTAATCAGATGATATCATTCAACATTCAAAAATAGCCCCTCTGCTCTTACTCCCTCCTTTGCATTTTTTGATCCTGATCCATTTCCAGAAAAGAAAATTCTACATAGTACTTCCAGATTCAAGGGTTTCTTTCTGATATTCAGTGAAATCACTGTGAACTCACTGTATTAGATAAACCATAAACTTAATAGACACATATGCCACCATGAATCATGGGTAACCGCTTTAACTGCCAACATTAAGTGACCTCACAATTAAAGTGAAGGTGATGATCTTGTGGCTACTGACAGATGCTTCGTGACAGCAACAAGGCTTAGGGCTCGCTGAACAACCCGCAACACTACATCCCAAATGAACATCAATTTCCAAGGGGAGAAGATTACTAACGAAAATGAGAGCTACAGTAACTTCATACAAGGAAAGTTAAATTGTAGTTGCATGATGCAAAGACCAAACAATTTTTAACTGCAGTGTATGCTTAACATTTAAAAGCTGGATATAAGGGGAATATAAGCTGGAGATAAAACTGTTCCTCAAAAGTTAACACAGTCATTGCAAAAAAATAAATAAAATGCAGAGACAGAAGAATAAGATAACATCACAGTGAAAAACTCTGTGGTGTCTAATAGATTGGAAAAAAATTGTTCAAGGACCGTTAATGTTTACACCAAGTTATTTCTGTAATGCTGCCAAGGTCAATTAGACCTTGGGCTATCTACCATCTAAATTACACTTTTAAGCAAGCTTTCTAAGTTTGCTTTCAAAACTCAGCTACCCTACTCCAGTTCCAGACCAGTGGCCCCCTGTGGGGCTTCTTAAGAGATTAAAGCAGTTTACAGAGCTCATATAGGATAAATATTAAGAATAAACTGAAAACAATAAATTGGTTTCTTTTCAAATATATTTTACTTGCTTGCTTATTCATTTAATCAAAACAGTAAGAAATATTAGAATTCTAGATTTATCAACTACTAAATCAGTATTATTCGGAGAGCCAACTGACATATCCTGAAAGTCTAGATAAACAAAAGAGAACAAGCCCTGATCAGGACATCAGCCATGGCCAGATTAGAATTGTGCAATTGGCTCATACTACCAGGGGATCCAGACTCTGAGCTTTCATTTTTTTTAAAGTAAGTCTCTAACCTTCCTAGAATGTAAGAAAGCAAAATGTGTAGGCAACCTTCTAAGCGCTTTCTGTGAGATGAGCCAACATTATTGCTCTTGCTTTCAGTGAATTCAACTAATGAGTGAAGGTGACCCTATGACTCATGAGTGCTTTTTTTGGACATCGGGATTTAGGAATCCCCAGAATCCTGAATAGTTGCTGCTTTTCTCTCTTTAGTTCACATTTATTTCCTGTTTCTGTCTCATTTCTAATCCTTGAAATCTCTGTAGTTTGTCCTTTACTTTCTAGCAACAAGGACTCATATTTCCTATGATGGGTTCATCTGAGATCAGGCACTCATTAGAACCTATTTTATGCAAACACTACACGATAAGTGTGGGTGGATGTTAAAGTACCCCCCTGCCCCTGCCGAATAGCAAATGCAAAGATGCTTAGGCATGTTGCTTGCTGTATAAGAGCTGAAATCCAGGCATTCATTAAGAATTCATTGTATGGTTAACTTATAGTGCAATAGTATAAATGCCTACCTAGAAGTAAGTCACTTTTGTGTTTAATGGGTTTACTCGCAAGGTTAGTGGGCACAGGACGACATCTTTGACTTTTTTTATAAGCAAGGATCAGAAGTGTTCAGAAGTTAAATATAGGCAGCCCACTAAGTGTAAAGTTATTTTATAAAACGGGAATGAAATCAAATAATTTTATAATAATTATAACATTTTAAATTTCATAGGTTCATTCACACTGTTACCATATTGGCAATATGGTATGGATTTGCTGATTCAATTTTGGTGTGTTTGTGTGTATTTTGAACCTTGTCACTGGAAGATGGTTTTAATTACCCTTTTGTTCTCTCTGATACCAATAGGTTATTCAAACTTTTTATTCCTATATGCATCCATTCACACACTTACAAAATGGGAAGGGCTGCATGTGTGTGCTTCCAAAATTACTGTATTATGGAACTAAAGTATTTGCAACAGTATTCTTCTCCATAAGACCTACCAACCTCAAACTCAGTTACATTATTCAGGTATAGACTAGTACACTAGAAGTATTTCTTCACCATTCATACTTCTGAACATAGCACTTCCTAGGCCCTGAACTATCTGATCCCTCTCTTTTATTTCCATTATACATTTTCATAAAGTGTTTCCTTAAAAAATATATCTTATGGATTTTTAAGAAAGCATACAATTTCCAATGGACGCCCTTCTCCCCACCCATCCCTATAAGACAGAAAATCAAGAGAATATAACACCATGGTTATAGATGTGACTCTGGTGGCTGCCAGTCTCTAGGCTTTCTAATGGAAAATGTTATGAAATGGTAATTTTTATAAAATGTTGTTACTTTGCAGCATGCAAGGGGCTTTCCATTATGTCAAAAGAATTTGGCTTGGTAATTTGGCAGTTGCTATATTTCCACTCTGTTCTTCAGCTTCCCAGCACTTTGGCTCATAATATACATTTTGAAAAATCTCTCAAAATCCCCCAAACAGAAGCAAAAACTACCCACATACTCCCCAGGTCCTCAAATGCCCGTTGGGACAAAAAGATCCTAGGTTGCTTTCGAAAGGTTAACATTATCTCTCAGGGGAGGGCATTCTAACGGAGATGTCACAGAAGAGACCCTTCCACAAATGACAGAACATGGAGCATGACCTCATTAGATTTATCTGGGTGCAAAGGGTTGGCTGAGGGAGGCTCTCAAGGAACTAAATCAGATTTAATTTAATGGTAGGGTTTAACGTTCTGAAACTGAAAATTCTTTTGCAAATTTCCACGATAAAAAATAATTAAAATTTGAAATATTAACTTGGTAACAAGCTACCGTTTTTCTAAACAGACTTCACTGAGCTGCCATAATTTCTGTCAGCGTATGTAGTACTGAATGACTAATAAAATACCTGAATTGAAACTATTCCAGTCTAGCAGTTTGTATGATCTTGTGTTACCCATAATTCCGACAAAGGCTGAGTTCAAAACAGCAAATTAGTAGATCAGTTTTAGCAGAATAGTGAAAGCAAGAAAGAAAAAAAACAGCACACCACCAACAAGAACACAACTGATTAATACCACTCCACAGGAACTGGAAAGACACAGACAGCAAAGTTAATAAGAGAGTGAAAATAGAAAAGGAAGGATGGAAGGATCATGCTGTATTATTCTAGCTATATTTATCAAGTAAAAAAAAGATTAACGCAATTACCAATACCATGCTTCAAAAGTCCTTTTCTATGTTTCCCTACTTATTCATCCGGCAGTTCATGTATTTCTCTCTTGAATTATCACTTAATATTATTTGAGCAGAAATGATAGCATAACGTTTTAAAGGAAGACAGCAAATGGCAGGGCAGTTTCAGAACTACTGTGTTGCTTCAGTTCTGTGAGAAACTATTTTTGAATAGCCAATATTAGCATTTTATCAGCACAAGCATCTCTCACCTGCCTCTAGATTTTCCTTTGCTTTCTTATGAAACATTTTTCTTTTATTTTTTAAATGGTTTTTTTCTTAACAGGAAATTAGATTGGAAAATATTCCAATGAAATTGTCCTTTCTCTTTTCATGCTACACAGAGATTTTCTCAAGTTATGTAGGATTCATTAATCTATTGATACATGAAAAGGGAAAAGTACTTAAATGGCTATATTTCAACTTTTTGTGGCTAATGTATAAAACATTTAAAATTTCACAGCAGAAAAAGCTTGGCTGGAACTAATTGCATGTTGGAAGCGATGGGGTCTCAACTGAATAAGAAGGCTCTCTCTACAAGTGCAACGTTAGGCATAAATCATCTACTCTCCAAACAGGGCCAGACCAATGCACACAACCTGGGCCCACTGAACTGCTAGAAGCAGGGGAATGCCCCACAGGCAGCTGTCCCTTTCGCATGCTGACTAGGTATTACCTCCACAGATACGCACAAGATCTGTTGCTTGGACATGGGCATATCTTTATTGGTTAGAGGAAAAAGGGAGACTGTGTCTGATCTGACCACTATCCAACCTGGACAGGAACAGAGGAATTTTTTTGAAGTGGGAAGTCCTCTTCTTCCAAAAGTTAAGACATAGAAAATGACCTTACCCAAAAGAGAAGGCTCCCAGTCCTCAGTCTACAACACCAAAACACAGGACTTCATCAAGGAGAAAAACAGAAACAAGAACCATCTATTTATACCTATGTCTATACCTAGTTGGAAATGGATTAGATGAGATGAAAGTTATCAAAACGGAGATCTACCAAGAAAGAAAGAATCTCCTCTCTTTGGACATGAACAGAGGGCCCTTCTGGTGACCAAGCCAAGCAACCATATTAGCCACTGTGGTTCACACAAAACAATCTGAAGGCACGCAGAATGGCATTTGTTCCCAAGCTAATGCCAAGGACAGCTTACCAAGACCATCAAAAAACAGGTTATCAGAAGTGATGCTGGCTGATTAGCCCACAGAAACAAACTGATTCCTGCAGTCAATGCCTTACGAGCAGCTGTCATGACATAAAGCTTCTTCTGGGGGTACATTTACCTTTCTGACATTTACCTTGCTAGGAAATCAATTACAAATCAATGCAAACTGTCATAGAAAACAAGTCAATGACAGAAGCATCCACTTTAGGGGCTATTAAAGGATTAGAGATGTCCTTAGGAAGGGGACACAATCAATATCTCAACTTGTTTCTAGGTTTTGCTGCTAATGGAGTCTTCCATTCAGACCAAAACCTGGGCAAGGAAGGGTGGAAATGAAACTTGAAAAAATGATTGCATAGAACCAGGAAATACTTTGGTTATTTCCAGAGGCTAGGAAGTAAAAGGAGCCTGTGAATCCACTACCTTAAGTGATAATTCTCTCAAGGTACTTCTAAGGGAAAGCAACTATCTTTTTTGCATTCAGTACTATTGAAACTGGAGAGGTTCCCCCTTTTAATAAGCTTAGAGTCCCTGTTTTACAGGAGCTGTCCCACTACTAGAGTTCCCCCTTTATTGAGGAGGAAGGTTTTGGAGTTGAGTTGCCCTCCTCATATGGACAGGATCTGTGGAACAGTTAATATTAGGAAAAGTTCCACATGAAGAATACTTAATTGCCTCTTTGCCTTTCCCATAACTATCCAGTCTTCTCCAGAACTCCTTAGAGCAGGAACAGTACAGAAGAATAAGGAGGAATTAGAAGAAAAGGGACTGATCTGAAGGGTGTTTCTGAGTGGGCACTAGGATACCACCAAGTGGGATTGTGGTCCTTCTGTTGCTTGAGGTGGGAAAATGTTATCACTCCAGAGAAAGCAATCTCTTATCCCTCCCTTGGAGTTTCCGTTAGAATGTCAGTTCACCTTCTGGCCAAGTGCAAAAACTGCTTAATACTAAGACCAACCATTCAACTAACAAACACCACAGCCAAAAAATAAGACAACTACATATAACATATACAGACACAAGGTTACTATATGGACAGTCCACACCTAACACCAAATCTTAACTATAAGCTTGTCAGTCAGTCTAGGATGTATTGTGGATGTTCTAGTGGCCACTCAAAAACACCTTTCATATAGAACCAATAGTCCCTTTTCTAGTAGGCACTAGACACCATAAAGCGGGATGCTCTAAAGCTAACCCTGACATCTATGGGTAGGTGCTGGCTGCTTAATATGTAGGAAGATCCCACGGAAGTATTCACCTCCCAAATGCAGCCTCTGCAGAAATGTTTATCTTAATTCTTATAATTCCTAGTAATTGAGCTCGGACTAGCTCAAGTGGCTGCCCCACAAACCTCCTGAAGAGGTATGTTAGTGGAAAATGCCGCTGAAGTGGCAACAGCCCCTATGGAATGGGCCTCAAAGTCTGCAGTGACAGTTGACATGTATGTCAGATAAAATGCAAGCTGAAACTCGCCTAGGAAGGGTGGTGGTAGAATACTGTTTTGCTGTGACTAATTCTGCTGAAATCTCAGTCATTAAGCGTGTATTAGTTTTAATGTGACAGGTGTTAGGAGAAAATAACAGCTTACTGCTGTACAATACACTGAGCAGAGGGAGTAGTAGATCTTCTTGTTTATACAGACAAAGCAACTGAATTGCATTGAAGCACTCATAAACACTGGAGCTACAGGCAAGGGGGTTCTTCAAAATCCATAGCCATAAACCCTGAAGAGCTATCAGAATTCAACAAGACCTGTTGAACAACCTGTTGATCTGGGGCTGACCCAGATCCTCTGTCATCTGCAGAAAGTTTCTCATCTCTGTGATTCACTGGTGTTTGCTGACATTCATCATTGTATCTGGCTTGCCTGTACACAAGCTCTGAAGCTGATGGCCACCTCCTCTGCCCGCTGCTGGCCACTCAGGTTCTATACCATCTCCTTGCCCACTGCTGCCACTGCTACTGTGGGGTTGGTCATGGTGTGCTGCTTCACCTTCAAGTGGCAGACATCTATTTGCATGCCTTGTTAACTTGGTTCCAACACCTTGTTTCTTGAGAGGAATTGGGCCATTGGTGCTACTATGCCCTCTATCAATATAGTCCCTGCACAAAGGCAGATGAACCTTTCTTTAAAGCACAAGGTATTTAGCAGTCAGTAGAACTGCAGGGACACGGGTGGCGCTGTAATCTAAACCACAGAGCCTAGGGCTTGCCGATCGGAAGGTCAGCGGTTTGAATCCCTGCAACTGAGTGAGCTCCCGTTGCTCGGTCCCTGCTCCTGCCAACCTAGCAGTTCAAAAGCACGTAAAAGTGCAAGTAGATAAATAGGTACCGCTCCGGTGGGAAGGTAAACAGTGTTTCCGTGCGCTGCTCTGGTTCGCCAGAAGCAGCGTAGTCATGCAGGCCACATGACCCGGAAGCTGTACGCCGGCTTCCTCGGCCAATAAAGCGAGATGAGTGCCGCAACCCCAGAGTCGGTCATGACTGGACCTAATGGTCAGGGGTCCCCTTTACCTTTACCTAAAACTGTTCACAGCCTTTACCAAGCAGCAAGATAGGGGAGTCGAGAAGGATTATAAATGGGAGGTTGTGCTTTTTTAAGGGTTCAGTTAATTTCTTCAATCAAGCAAAATAATTATTCAAGTAAAATCAATTTTCACAATTAATGAATTGAGAGGAATAATGAATTAATAAATGAGAGGAATGAATTAAAAGACTCAGTTAATTTGAATAAGCAGGATCTCAATTAAATAGGAAAGGTAACAGGGCAGTTTATAAGAGGCACACCACAATGAGGTAATTTAACTGACAACTGACTGAAAATAAAATTCCCAACACACTGAAACATTGAAACACAGTAACCAAGTGCAATCACTCAGAAATCTCAGAAAATGACAGTGAAAATGACAACTCAGTGAACTGGGAGCAAAGGCCAGAAGAGCAGTAAGTGAATATAGATCTGCTGCAACTGAGGTGGGAAAACAAACTGACATTCCCAGAGGGCTGAGACCTTCCTTTGGAGTTTTCCTGCCTCAAGCAACAGGAAGAATACAATCTCATCTGGTTGTGTCCTAGTGCCCACCAGATAACTCTTATTTTTTATGTTTACAATTAGATTTGTGGCATTAATGGCACTTGCTCCTTTTCCTTTAGGACCTTAAGCTTTAGTCCTTCCCTCCTTCCCGAGTCCACAGGGCTCCACAGCTTACTCTGATTAACAGGAGACTGAAGCGGGGTTGTAGTCTTTGCTGTGAGTCTAAAGAAACTGATATGTGTGGCCTAACTGAGGCTACTGCTGAAGGCTCAAGCTTAAGTTCCTGATTGGGGAAAGGGCAACTAAGTTCCCAGTATCACACTTTGAATCTATCCAAGGAAAAGCAGAGTGAAATGTTTCCTTAAGGAAGGAGTCTAGGGCAGGGGTTGTCAACCTGGTCCCTACCACCCACTAATGGGCATTTCAGGATTCTAGGTGGGCAGTAGGGGGTTCTACGGCGCAAGCTGAATCCTCCTTCCATCGAGCACTGGTGGGCAGTAAGGAAATTTTACTATCAAGAAAGATGCATTAATGGGCGGTAGGTATAAAAAGGTTGACTACCCCTGGTCTAGGGAATTATTCTCTCTGGGATCTCCAACACTAACCTCTTTTGCTCCTCTTTCTCTGCTTGTCTAGAGTAAACGGGACACCACCAAACTCTAACTTACACCCTTTCCTATCCTAACTAAAGCCCAGTGGAAAAAAAGATTAGACTGGGAAATGGGTAATGCTAAATGGAAAAACACTTGCTTTCTAGTTCTAAGAGGAACGGACCAGAGGCTGGGAGCTCACCATTTGAATAAGGCCATTTCTAACCTCTTGCCTCTAACTTGCTGAAAAATGGAATTCCTCACTTCCAAATCTCACTCTGTTCATGTTTAGAGAATATTCTAGGGAAATCTCAGGATAATTTATGCAATTTTCCTTGATTCATCACACACAAAATTAGACATGCTGTTCCTAGGTTCTGGAAGAATCCTCAATAGCCAACTTTCAAACATTTAAAAAGAGCTGAAACAGAAAAACATCCAAGTTTGCACTTGAACACTTTCTCTTGAGAGTCCTAGTAAGATTTACAATTTGAGAATTCGGTTCTGTCATTGATTCTGATGTTATATATCACTGGCATTATAATTAAATAGCTCGATGACATTGAAAACATTTACAAGAAGGCTGTTGTTTATTTCACTTCAAAGCTTTGTTTATTTCACTTCAAAACATTTTGCAAGGTCTTACCTCCAATAAATATATATAAATATACAGAGTGTCAAGGTCACAACAAAATATCAAGATTTATTCCTGTGACGTACCAGGATTGTGAATGCGATCCAGGAGCTTCACTGAGCGAGCACTGACAACACCGCCTACATGAAGAAGGAAGCCTGAAGGAAAGGCCGTCAAAGTAAAAAAAGGAAATTCCTGTTCCGATAAGAAGAAAAAAGGAAGAAATTATAGTTGATCTTAAGGGCTTGGCCTATTGTTCACCAATCAACATGCAAGTACCTCTTGAAACACAGGCAAAGCAGAACAGTTGGCAAAATGCTTTTTAAAGATTTACACTATGCATTAAACAAGCAAAATGTATGCCATCCACAGACCCAACACGCTGTGGGGTTAGCAGACATCTCAAAAGCAGTTAAGACACTACTTTCCCCCTCATAATGCTGCTCCTGGGCTGGGATGTTAACTATATATTGTGACACTAGAATCCTAAAGCCCAGAATGGGTACATCGTGCTGGACTCAATAAAATGTACTAGTGAGTACATTAAGAGGGATCAGGGAGTATTGTAGAGATATTATTAGGAGACTTAGAGCCTGATCTTAGTGGTGTTTACTTGTAAGTCCTGTTTAATTCTTACATTTAATTACATTTAATTCTTACATTCTTACCCTTCCTTTCTTCCAGGGAGCTCAAGACATTAATTACTACTACTATAGCTGCTGTTGAAACCATACTGGGTTTAAATCACATGGAAACCAGTAATTTACTTCTAAGTAAATGCTCATTGAATTGTGCTGGGAATCCTATAGTCTATCTTTGTTCTATCAGTTAAGTATCTTCTTTACCCTCCATAGTTTTGCCTCATAAAAAACAAATACACTATGCAGGGACTTTGTCATTATTTTGCAGAAACAGGACCTCAAAGAGTCATTATACTATGGCAATTAAAAGACAAATAAATGCTTTAATAGGTGCTAAACAGTCTTTTTACTCTGAGAGGAGAATGTATTGAAAAATACTGAATCTAGGACCTAATAAAGTCCTGGATTTTTCCTTAACTTCAATCAGGTCATATTACAGTGGCACCATGACCCCCCATGTTTGTCATGAAATTTCAATCTACAATGCTAGTGTAATGATGTACCTTGTGCTATTATGATCATGACTGTTGTCACTGTTTCTGCAGCTCCTGAGATTCAGCTGCTAGAGTGTTTTATTTCATTAAGCACATCCAGAAACACAGTAAATTAATTTGGGCCCATCATTTCAGAAAATATTCTTATTATGCCTTATTATTATTTATTCCAGGAGCCCAGGGCAACAGGATGTTTGAGAAGAAGCCTTAGGAAAATATTATTTGATTAGTCTCCCATGACCAAGAGGCAAATATACCCACAATACTTGGAATGGTGGTCAAGTTAAAATTATTTTACAGGCATTATTGATCCCTAACACAGCATGAAACACCCATGCATTGGCATAAATTAGGTTTAGGCTACACTAGGTGATTGCAGGCTGCAGTTCCCCTTCCCATTGCAACCTTAAGTTCAAATCATGTACATCTGCTTTCCAGACACAAGAGGGCAGGAGGAGAAGGGCTACAAGTAGGAAATGAATGGATAGGAAAGAGGAAAGGGATGGCAGGAATGGGTCTGAACATGAAGCACAAGTAGAGGAGTAGCACCACTCTTTCCAAAACCACAAGGCTAATGTTCAGAGAGATGCAAAGATAAGGGAGGGGGGAGTCTTGACTCCAGCAAGCAGAAATTTCTGGGCAACTGAAAATGTTCTGTGTGGTCACACAGCCCATAAACAAATGGAATTTACAAACAAAACCCATAAAGAATAATAAAGAGAAATGCAACTTTAAAATGTTTCACAAAGTTTTTTATTGAACATGACTACTCTACTTAAGGGATAAAACTGAATCTAGAGAATAAGATTCAGATAACAAGAGTTCTACTGTATCTTTTATGCAAGATTATCTTTTTGTCTCTAAACAGGGATGGCCCCAAATGGGTTCATCTAATGCAGATCTGCACACAATAATATATAGCATGTTTATGGGGGGAAAGAAGATGGGTTTCCATTTGCCAGTTCTACAGCATCAATGCAAAAAATAAATGGAAGTTCATGCAACAATGGTTTATTTCATAATGTTCCTATGATTGGTAAGTGCAAAGGAAAGGAGAAAATAATCATTATCACATCTTACACTATGACATGAAAAATGACAGATGCCTCTACTTTCATACTATAAAGCTCACAATCTGGATAATCTACTGATTCAGTTACATAGCATTAACATTCTTCCTTAGATTATAAAAAACAGAACAAAGAGGGGGAGCATGGAAGAAGCCAAGAAGCCATTAACAAGCCAAGCACAAACTTTGAAAAACCTTCTAAAAGTCTGAAAAGAAAATATGCAATTCTTAGCATTTCAGAATATTTGTTTTTGCTGAGAGGTATGGTGTTTTTAAAGAGCTAGATATCTAACCCACAAGATTTCATAGGCAGTTCTAAAATGAGATGGGAAATAGAAATAAGAGATAAGAACAAGGAAAATAAAAAAGATATTCAACTCTTGCAACTTCTAAGCCTGCATTACCATGATTATTTCAAGCCATCTCATTTTTTCCCCAGTTCAAACACACAATGAATTATTTGCTTGTAATGCTAAACCATGAGGATGATCTGCAGCAAGCCTTTGGCCTGTGTGTTCCCCCACCACCACCATCTTCCTCCAGGGTGGCAGTGAGGAGGCATTCATAAGTTTTTCTTCTGTTTTACATTAACCACATTTTGTTGTGTTGCCCAAACCTTGACAAACTGTTGTCAGTCTTAACTATGGTGATTGGAAACAAGACAATTTCAAAGCATAGTTTATGAAACTGACTTGTTTTCACTAAGCACAGTTAAGATTATCCACTGCTTAGGCTTTGGATATAATGCTAAACTGTGGATAATCCAAAACAGAAGTTTCTGATCTCCATGCCTGAAACAAGATGGGAGAGGGCATGAGCCCAAGACTCACTACAGCTCTTCCTTGCAACACAAACCATGGTTTAGTGTAATTTGCAAACAAGATCAATATATAAACCAACCGTAATTTTGGCATCTGCCATATTCTAGCTCATGATACATAGGCCTGTCCCATGCCATCTACATTTTAATCTCATGACTTCTAATTATATTTAGTCCTGATATTCAGAGATATATAGTCTCCAAATGTAGAGGTTTCATGACCAATAGCCAACAAGAGCCCTACGTCCCGTGTATTCCAATTAAAAAGGCATAATAGAAAGACTGCAAAATGCATTTGCACAGGAGACATCAACAATAAATCATCTCACAAGAGCTCTCAACCCATTTCCACTCCAGTTCCTTGTACTATAAGTCAATGGGTTTTAAAAAAATAAATAAATAGAAAGCCAGCTGTGCAATCGCACAACACAGCATACCAGTATATATGAGCAATCTAAGACTTTGCTTATACTATTTCCCATTTGAGAGACACCTGGGGACATCTAGGGGGCTGCTTTAGGAGAGAAGAGTTTTGAACTAGATGTCCCTTTAATCCAACTCATCTGTTCACCTAGGCCTACTCTGAGAGGTGATCCTACTATGCTGTTGTATTAAAATGATTGCTGATTTGTAGAGTTTTTTGTACAGTACTTGTTTTATGAATGTAATTTTATTGTTGATTTTAAGCTGTTCACTGCCATGGTATTATTCTCTTAGTATTGGGAGTATATTTTTGCACATATAATAATTCAGAACAAACATTAATACATCTTCAGCCATTTTCTTACATTCCTTAAGTAGTGAATGTAACATCAGAACCAGCCCCTGGAAATTATTTCCTAGCCACATTACTGGCTTATAATCTAACCCCTAAAACTGGTACAGGCTACAGGGACAAACAGTTCTGCATAATCCACACAAAAATCAATAGAAGAAACATAGCTGTAACACTTGGTTTGTTGCACTACAGATGACTAACAAATGGTTTGATTGGAGAGGGGAAAATAGAAGCAGATGTAAAATTAAAGCATATTTCAACTATGCCAGTTAGACCCACAATGTACCATCACACAGAGTTTATATGAATACTCTTTGGTGTGAAGGTGTAGGGCATTTTTAAAGATACATTTTAAGCCTAGCCTTTTTCAAAGTTGTATCTCATTTATAATGATTGTTCATGACTTATAAACATATTAATAAAGAATTCATCAAAGTATTAAAAGCTTGCAAAGGGAGTTTAAAATAAAAATAAAGTTTGTCAACCCGAACAACATATAAAAACCCACAAAACATTTAAATTACTAAGACAGGGGCACAGGGTAAAAACTTCCTTTTTGCGTTAGTTTATTTTCAAATTAAACATTACAAAATAAACAATATGAATTGCTATTTAAATGAAATGAAAAGTTAAATGAAATGTACAGTCATGCGGACTATTGGTTAAGCAGGAGGATTTGGATTTGTTAAATGATCTGAGGAGAAATCTTTATAAATTTGCATCCGAAGGATTCTAAAGGGAATCTGGAAATAATACTATTAACAAATAATCCCAAATTCCTAAAATGTAACTCCGAACTCAAAAGGGGTTTTCAAAATAAAATTAACACAAAAAGAGAGGGCTTAAAAGAAATGTCACACAATGATTTGGAACATACCCGCCTTCTACAGAACCTATGAGGCGATCCTCCCTTAGCAATGGGTAACACAAGAAATGAAAAGAGAATCATCCAACTTATACAAACTTAATGTTGCTATTCATTTTAGAATTAATCCACATTTTAATGGTGTGTGCATATACAGTGTTAAGTATATAACATTTGGTACAGTCCTCTAAACCCAAGTAAAAGTTTGTCTTTAGTGAAGAAATCAGAAATTCACAAAGAATTTAGGTGCAGGTATCCAGTTGAGTTTAGATCCATTAGGCCAGCGGTTCTCAACCTGTGGGTCCCCAGATGTTGTTGGACTACAACTCCCATCATCCCTGAGCTCTGGCCTTGCTAGCTAGGGGTGATGGGAGTTGTAGTTCAACAACATCTGGAGACCTACAGGTTCAGAAAGGCTGCATTAGGCAAAATGTGCTTATAGTTCTAGTTCATAGCCACTTAAAAATACAAGCTTAGGGAGCAGGTGAGGAGGTTATAGCTGCTTTGACATGGCACACAAATTCATTTACATGAAGATTTAGCTTTTTAAATTCTGTTTTAGAGCTTTCTAGAGTCTGAGTATGGATATCCAACAGTGTTTATCAAATTGTGAGAAAGGACAGAAACACATAATACTGTACATACTTATGGTGGAATACTCCATGGCATGTCCTTGTTTTGGATATCTAATTCTCGCATCTGAACAAGGATTAAATCCCATACAGTTCAGGATCAACACAAGGAGATAACAGTTGTTTAATGAACAAGGAAATTAGCAGTTGATAAAGAGACATTTCCACAGTGATGGGTTCAGACATGCAAATTAAAAATAGGATTATCATGCTTTTCTTACCCTTTGCTCCAAAGCCGTCTGAGTTTGCTGTCTTAACAGAGCTTTTAATGGCCCCCCTTCTTTTCCAGCACTCCCACTGCCCATTCCTAAAGGATATCAGCATGTAAGTAAGCAGTCATATCAAACAGCTAAATAATATATTATACTGAATTTTTATTTAAAAAACATGGCATATACATGCAAATGTAAGAATTATGAAAGGTCAAACTTGCAAGATTCAGAAAGCCAAAATCATTTACCATGTACCTTTGCACAAAAAAACCATATTTTGATAAATGCAATGTGTCAGTCTTTTTATTTCTAACTGTAGAGAAGACCTACAAATTTTATTTTTATTTATCCAATGCAGCAAAAAGATGGCAAAATTGTCCATCAACATGTACGGAAAAATTAAAAGGGGTTTAGTGTAGATAGAAATAAAATTGTAGAAGGTCAAAAGATTTAAACATAGTTTGTTCTTTCTTTCACTGATAATACTGGGAACTTCAGGCTTCAAGCTCTAACTTTTACAAGCAGGTCATCAATTAGAATAAAAAAATCTGTCAGCATGCTCATAAATTGTGGTTAAGTAAAACCTATCGTTTTAGAGGTTTCAGTGTACTGTTGGCAAAAGATTGTGACTCTCTTCTCCTGACATTAATTGGATTATTTATGTACTTCTCTTTTCAAAAGTTTCAGAGTAATAGAACATTTTTGCACCACAACAGTGGTCTAAACCTTAGAGTTTATGTGGGTTCCTAAAAATTTGCACTATATGATATTCACATGAGCCCAGAGCATTTAGAAAGGCAAACGTGCAACTGTGAAAATTTTTATTTTCTACAGTAAAATTTTCAGGGTAAAGTATTAAAGCGTTTAGGGGCTTTACACCTCAGTGTTCACACAGCAGCAGCATCTAAAATAATAAGGAAGACCGCAGCTCAGGGGTAGAAAACATGCAAAGGTTTAATCCCTGACACCGGCAGGTGGGGAAAGGAAAGTATTTCTGCTTGAATCTCTGGAGAGAAGCTGCCTGTGTAGGCAGGTGGACCAAAGGTCTAACTTCGCAGAAGGCAGCTTCCTGGGTTTCTAATGCAATTTCTACTATCAAAGCCAGTGGTTTTTTTTACAATATACTTGCTAAGGGCTTGTTTCAATGCTGCCTAGCTTCCTTACACCAATATGGATCAGTCTTGTCTAAAAATCATAACAATTCCAGTGATGAAATGCTTATTCTCTCTCGTAAGATATAATCCACCAGAAACTGCTTCTGGGCAAGCCTCACTGAAATAAAGGGGTCTTACCCATTAGCACGTAGTACTTACAAAACAGAACATCACTGGCACTCCAAGTATCTCAAATCAGGCACACCGGCTTGCCCCTGCAATTGAGGGGGCCGGCACCACACAACGTGCGCACACTGTGCCTGCACACCACACAACACACTGACGTCACTCGTGCGCGCTGTGCGACATGCTGACGTGTCACACACACACCGTGCAGCTTTAGCGTGATGTGCGCACGCCACATGGCATGCACACACAGTGTGTGAACATTACTGCAGAATATTGAGGGGGCCTGTCCACTTCCTTGAAAATTGGGGGGGGGGCTCTCAGCCCCTTGTCCCCCTTAAAGGCATGCCTATCTCAAATAAATATGGACAGCCATACCATTGACAATTCAGATACTGATGCATACACTAAATACCATCCTATACTAGACTAAAAACTAATCTGTTTAAAATAAGGCAAGTAAAAAGAAACCCACAATTCGAACAGATAAGCTCATTGTAAGGTGTAAGATTTCCCACCCATTCACACATTAATTTTGTACAAAGTATCTGAAATGGTTGGAATTTTTTAACCACTTGCAAATTCACAAATCCAAATAATGCAAGCAGAAAGTGGTTGTAAGTGTTTGAACTTATATTGGTAATCTACATGTTGCTGGTCGCCCCCACTTTTATTAAATTCTAGATTCTAGAGTAAGAACAAAAAAAAATATCAAAGGAAATATTTTTAGCTGCTTTTGGATAAGGAAACTAACATTAGCATCTGTATAGTCCCATTCTGTATTGTCAGTCTAATTTAATATCTTACAAGGGACTATACAATACTAAGAACGAAGACAGAATAAATGAAGACTATTTGTGGAAATGAAACATATTTTTGCAGAAGAAAGGACAACTAAAACACTACCTGTAGACAAACACTAACCAAGTATGTATTCAGCAAAGCAATCTAGAGAAATAACAGGCAAAACAGAGGTGCATATTGGGAATGGTATTCAAAACAGGACAGAAACCAAATATGGCTGATGGCCACATGATGGTCAACAGAGTAATAGAAATGGCCTGAAGAGGAAGAATGAATGCTTGTTCCAGGTAAAACAGAGGAACATTTTAAAATGACTGGAAATGAATTATTACATCACCATCTAATGATGAAAAACAAGCCAATTATCAATGCTTGGTAAAGTTTTTGGAGAGAAAAAGAGAAAAATCTGTAGTATAAAAAGGATGAGGTTTCTTTAAATGGTGACCAAACTTTAAAGGGGGAAAAGCTGATTAAGTTGAAAAACCCATTTAGTGAGTAGACTTTTGTCATCGTCATGCAGCCAGCAGTTTTCAGAGTTTTAAAAGGGTGTGCAGCGAAAACAAGAGAAGCTTTAAAACTACCCTAAGCGCCAATAGTGGGACTAAAAAAAACAGCAAGGCGATTTAAGATTGATCCTACCAGAAGCAGCCAGAAGCAGCTCTTCAGTGAAAGAAACACTTTTCCTCAGAATTGGGTTGGCATGGCTAGAGTGAAGAGGGTTAGAGATAGACCCAGAGAGAAGGAGACAGGGCTGTTTAAGCTGTGGGGAATCACAAGATAGTGTAGGGGAGCTGGGATACAGGAAAATCCTAGGTCCCTGGGGGGAAAGTGCTGTGGAGGGAAGCAGTAGAGATGATAGATTTCAGAAGATGACTAAAAAGAAATCAAAAAGGAAAAAAAGCAAAATGAAGAAAAAACCAAAATGAATCAAGCAAAACCAAATTTTGTAAAAACGAACAGACAACCTAACAGAATATGAATGAGCTATTACTGACATACAATAAATGAAATGACAAATACAGCACTACAATGTGAATGAAGAGCACATTCAAATGATACTTTAATAAACTGTTCTTCCTTAATAGCAGGAATGGTTTCAATGTGCTTTTACTTTTATTTCAAATTCTGATATTCAAAATAAATTTGCTTGCAGATGATGAACAGCTACTTCCCACGAGCCTAAAAAAAGTACATTTTCTTTTTCAGAAGAATTTTGGAATTTCTTAACCTGAACCACACAGCCTTTAATTTTTATTTCATGTTTGATCTACTCTAAGTTTTTATTTTTAGTTCCTATCTTCTCAATTTCCTCCACATATATGTTAGGGTAATGACCAGTGTTAGAAAAACAGCTAGCAACATTTTATTAGGAAGATTACTCCGCTGGTTTGCAAAAAACAAAAAACAGCACAAGTCATAAATCAAGACTAAGCTGCATCAAAGTAGCATTCTGAAGATGCTAATCACTAACACTTAACCTACACTGACAGCAAAACTTGACCCTTTTTTAGCAATATACATTTGTAATATATTTAGAAAGAATATACACCATCATTTCTATTAGTATACTCTATCTGGTTTGACGGGATTATAGCCTATGGTGCCACTTAGCGAATGGGAAGTGTTCCATCAGTGGAATGAGGAAGTAACTTTCAGTATGAAATCTGTTTTTGAAAACTCTTCTTGATTTGTCATGCATTATAGAGGTTTGCTTTTCAAGCAGAATGTGTCTAAACCTCTCTTGAGATCATGGAACCAGTTTCAGAGTTTGAGATCCAACAAACTCCAAGTGGAATTCTGCTAATGGAATGAAACTTTCCAGACACTGTGTCTGGCTTCAGCCAATGAAAAGGACTGGGGTCATTAGGAATAGCATGGGATATGAAACAGGGTAGATGCAGATGGAGGAAGGAATCAGAAGAAAATGTAGAATTCCCCCCCCCCCACACACACACACAAACACACTTGGTATTAGCAGAAATGTATTCCATTTGCATGAGAGTCCCTTTGGATTCCATCCATGGTCTAGCCAATTAGCCTATTTAAATTTCACCAAAGTCAAAGGAATGTAAGTGAGTGCAAGATTTTGGCCAAGTTGTTCAGATCCTTGCTCCTCCCATTAGTTATATTAGATCTAGTCCAGTAAATGTTGTCTCTGTGTGTGTGTGTGTGTGTGTGTGTGCGCGCGCGCGCGCGCGTGCATGCCTGTCTCTCTCTCCCTCACACACATGCACAAATATTAGCCTACTTTCTAAGAATGGTTAATGCCATGTCGACTATTTCTTTCCATTTCTTTAAATTCAACAGCATAGAAAAATAATTTATTTCTGTAAAGACAATGGGTTGGATCCATACTTAAAATAGACCCAGCGAAGCCAACTTAAGTTATTTTAAGTCCCATGGATACCATGGGCCTACTCAAAGTATGATCAAGTTTAGATCCACACCACATGTTAAAATAGCCTCTTAAATCAACATAAACAAGAATGTACAGTAGGTATCCTTTTATCTAGCAAAGGAAGTACAAAATAAAGATGTACTCTTTTAAGAGGAAACAGATGAAAAACATACTCCCTAACATTACTAAATTCACCAACAAACAACAACAACAACAATTTATTATTTATACCCCGCCCATCCAGCTGGGTTTCCCCAGCCTACAATATTTCAAGTGCAACAACAACAAAATGGGGCAGGGGAAAACCAGGTTTAAAATACAGCTGTTCACAGCTGAGATTCTGTAGCATTTTCTAAAATTATTATTTAAAAAAACAAAAAGACAACCAAAGCAATTGCATTATCTTCTAGCAGAGTTTGTTCTTAAAGATAAAAAGAACAAAAGTAGATTGCATGAAAATTAATGCACATAGCCAAATAGTTAGAGCAGTGTTTCTCAAACTTTCTGAACTCAGGCTCCTTTTCAAACATTCACTACATTCTGCACATAATATCAATTATTTTCCACAGATGAACCTGTAGAGATCCTTGCACCTAAATTAGGTGCAAGTGACTTGCTGTTATGCATAAGGATCTGGATAATACCCCCCACATATATTTTAGAAAAGAAAACTGGAGCTTTGCATAGTGATTCATCAAAGATCAAAGCAGTAGCAGTTTCTAGGTTTCTGGTCTGTCAAATCACCCTGAGAAGATGCAATTTGCCTCAAGTCCCACTGAGGTCTCGGTTGGAGCCCAAGGACGGCACTACAATTTTCGAGATCCTATCCCTGACTGGAACTTCACAACCTTTCTCCTGGTGCCTCAAGCCTCCTAAGGGAAGCCTGTCCCACGGTTTGAGAACCACTGAATTAGTAGGCAGAGTAAAGCAGCAACATTAAGGGATACGGCATTTGTTCAGTGTTTGTAAGATGGCATGCATTCACTCCATACATTAAATGAAATAATAAAACTTAAAATGTTTTCTACATCAAAAACATAAGTTGCTAACAGGAATTTACTACTATCTTAAAGTAGGTGGTGTCTATGCCAATTGTACATAGCTTGGAAGCAGCTCAGCAGGCAGCCCGTTGGTCAAATTTCTAGAAAGCTCAAGTAATTAATTGCCAAGTAGTGCACGCATACAGAAACATATTTGGATTAGAAGGTAGTTAGTCTTATGAGTATGACACTGTTAAAAAGGACATGCGAAACTACTTCCCCAACATATTATGGTGACTATTTATCTCCATAATTTGCAATATGATGTGGAGGAAATTAAAAGACAACTCCTTGTGACCTTTCTATTATTTTCTGATGTACTATAAGTCAGCTTGCAAAAGCTGTCCATAAACTAAATAATGCAAAAAGCAATTCATAAGAGTTAGACATATAGACAGTTTTCAAACTTTATTGGAGTAGGAGAGATCTCCTATTTTAGGGTTGTTGTGCTAACTTACATGCCAAAAAACAGAGAAAAGGAAGTGAGTAAAAAAGCTAATAGAAACAACACAAATTAAACAAAACAAATAAACAAATCAAAATAACGTGGGTGGCAGCACCTTACCAGTTTTGGGTGTCAAACTCAAATCTGTGTCAGAAGAAGAGGACTGTCGACTGTAGGACTTGGAAGGTGAAAAGGAATAGATTTGGTTTTTCAGAGGGGTGGAGGGTCCTGATGAATGAGGATTGGGATTGGGATCTTCATTGAAAGGAATCCTGCCAGAAGAAGGTGGAAACATATTCAGTGATCCTATGCCAAAGGACCGGGCTGATAGCAGCATGATCCCAACAACAAGGGTGTGGGAAGGGATGGGGAAGGGCCACTAGTTGTCCTGAAGTGCAAAGCTGGATTATGAGGCCAAAGGCAACGGCAAAAAACCAAAAAACAAAAAGTTTGTTTACCAACTCAGCATTTATTGCAGGGAGATGGCAAATATTTGATAGCAAAACAAAAACAAGAACAAAATACACAGCTGAGGAATGAAGCATCAAAAACCAAGAAAAACAGGCAAAGAAAGTAAAACCCATCAAAACCATCACTTGGGGCAGCAGTGCAAAATGCTTTTTTGAACCAGATTATCAAAAAGGAAAACAAAGACAATTGCAGACCATATATCTGTGTGTTTATATACACACAGACACAGACACTTATATATACACACACACATATATATTTCCAAGAAAGTTTCCTTATCCTTTAGCATCTGCAGTGTGCCACAGCTAAAAACAAAGAAGGAAACCAGACTGATACCATTGTATTGACAACCTTGGTTACATTTAATAGTACTTACCTGTTTGTCCAAATTAAGACTTCAGTCACAGAAACATCTTTGAGGACATCATGATTAAGCCTGAAGCCCAATCAAGATGTATATTTTCCCCCCATGACAAGGGATATTTTCACACCTTAGGTTTTTCAGTTTATAACTGGAAAGGGAAAAAAACTCACACACACACCAAGCAAAAGTACAGAGAGAGATGCTTAAATTCCAGTCGCCTATCACCTCTGTTGTATCAAATGAAGACTAATGTAGTTATTTCCAGGAGTAAGACTCCCAGTGAGAAAAGTTTTGTGGTACCTGCCTACACTGCCTGCCTGCCTGCCCTTTGCAGTCACTGTGCCTGTAGCCTGTCTCTCCCCAGCTTCTGAGTCTGAGCAGTCTCGTACCAGTGTAGATGAGAGTGGGAACAGACACAGAGAAGTTCTGAGTAAGCCGTGAGCCAGTAGCTGTGTGAATTGGGCTGTTGTGAGTCGAGCGACATCCATGGCTTGGTGGATGAACCAGCGGAGACCTGAGAGAATTTGCAGCCAAGGCGGAAGGAAAGAAAAAAAATACATACAAAAGATTGCAAAGTTACATTTAAAAAATATTTCAGGGAGCTTTAAGAGCAGGCTCTAAAGCAGGGGTGTCAAACATAAGGCTTGAGGGCCTTATCATATCTTTTTGTGGTTCCCAACATGGCCCACAGGACACCTACCATATTTCACAGAACTTCAGTCATGTGAGCCAAGAAGCCAAAAATGGCAAACTGGCATGCTTCCTCACAAGCAGATCAATCAACGACATGGCTCTAGTTTGCCACTCTAATTTATCTCATGCTAAGTAAAGGCCTCAGCAAATTAATTTTGCTCACCCAAGGGAGATGAACTGGGGAGCCATTGGACAGTGGATTCCGACAGGAGCTTCTCCTTCATAGCTTCCCCCCCCCTCCCTGTCAGGGGTATACACCAGACAGTGAAATACTTGAAATTGCAGGGTGAGGGGGCGACTCAGCAGCAGATGTTCAACAAATTGTGCTGGGATTCACATTTTTTTATTTTAAAAAAATGGATGTGGTTCCCAAGGATATACTCGCTGAGAAGTTGGCCCTCCAACTCATTATTTACACCCCTGCTCTAAACAATTAAGATGAAATCTTAAGAAAGCAGCTAAGCATTACCTTGTTAAAAGTGACATTGTATCTGTAGCAATGTGTTAACTGGGAAGAAAGAAATACCCGTAGGTGCCTGCTAATCTTGTAATACCTGGATTCAATGCAATTTCTTTAGACTGGCTTAATTCTGTTTCTAATAAACATAAAAATCTTAGCATGCAAGGTGCAACCAGGGAATGGAGAAATAATGTTTCCATTTTCTTTTCAAGATGGAATGACAACAGATGTAGGATGAACATTCTTAGCAGGTTATTAGCTGTGTAAAAGCAATGTGGCAATTGCATGGTTTTACTTATGGACCTATGATTCCACTACAGGGAAGCTTTGTAAAGAAAATTTGTCTTCATTTAAAAAAAAACATGGCTCTTAGCAAAAAGATGGGTATATACAAATTACTCATAATATATGAGTTTCTCATGTTTTCTGATGAAAATAAAACCCAGTAGCCCATACTTCTCTAAACTCTCACTTGTGCTGAGAATTGGAAAAGGCAAGAAACAGCAGGGGGGGAATATATTCTGGGTTGCAGTATTTCTCTCCATACTAAGGCTGAAAGGGGAAAAATCTCTACTCTTCCCCCCCCCAAGCCCTCTGTGCATGCCAGAGGATTTGAGGAAGGATGTATGTTGCAAGATAAAGTAAAGGTTGGCTAGCAAGCCATGCCAGTATCTGTGGACCAATCTCATGGCTAGCTGAAAACAGAAATAAATAAAAATAGCCAATGACATCCGAGTTCACAAAGAGTTTTGTTTTGATTGTCTGATCAAACATGACAAAGTAGCATCAACTCTGAACAATGAATGAAGCTAATTCAGAATGAAGATTTGGAAGCATTTATCTTACCAGTGCAAAAGCAACTTGACTAGCTATCGCACAGACTAACTTTGGTCATATACCCTGCATTTAGCTATCAATGGCTTTCACACAGACCATGTCAGTGTGGTGCTTCCTGCAGCAGCTCATAAAACCTGAGCCAACCTTAGAGGGATATGGAAACAGAATGTGACAAGTTTAACTGCGGAATTATGGGATAGGTGTGAAATCTAAGGTTCAGCAATCCCAGCAACAGCAGCGTACAAAGCATATTGCCAAAAAATACAGTTACAGGAGGGTGAGTCTAACATTTGCACATACCTCAATGTATGAAAATAATTATTTTCAATAATAAGCTTCTAAATAACGGATAGTTTTCAAGATTCCAGCTATCTCAACTAGAGCACACATAATCCCAATTTACACACGCAGAAAAAAAACATATGCTGGTCCTTCTCTTAGGGCTGGCATAAAAAAAGTCTTTATGATGCTGTAAATGTAGCTAGATGCTGTTTCAACAGGCATATACATAGCTTTCCCAAACAAGGTGCTTTCAGGCTGGCATGCTACTATTTTTATTTCACTTGCTCATGCTAAAAACTGAACTCCATGAACTATAAGTGAAGTGAAAGCTTGCCTACTATTCCAGGTCAAAGAGCAGCAAAGACAACTTGGTGCTTCCCTCTCTTATTTAGAATAAAGGCAGATATAAGAACCTGATAGAAATAGCTTAACACATATTAGCATCTTATGGTGTTATAGCATTTAATATTCACGTTGTAATACTTTTGTCTCTTATGCAGATGCACATTCGGACTACAAGTACTGGAAACAGAAGGCCTGTTGAAAAATTGTAATATGGCAAAAGATTCTGAAAGACAAAACATTCCATTGATGCAGGTTCACCACCAGTAAAACTCGCACATTGAACTGCAACGTAGAAGAGGCAATCACCATCAGCAGCACCTTGTTTAACACTGCTAGAATTATATATGGTATGACTGCATAGGCATTTGTCACACAAATTTTATTTCTGCAGCATCTGGTCAAATAGGACCATCAGTTCGTTTTGAATCCCCTCAGATTTCTAAATTCCAAAAAAATTACCAACAAGATTGGTACGTATGAAATCACAGCAGACAAATGAAATTATGCAAAACTGTATGATTATATAAACAAAACATGAAAATCTCTTTCCAATGAACATCTGACTCATACTTACTCCTTCATATCTTTGGATGGGGAATTACATGTGGGTAAGAATGCTGATGTGTTACTTAATTTATCCAAGGTACAGGCTGTTCCTATGGCTCGTACTACTAGTCCTGATTCTCCCTCCAGATCAAAGCACTGCAAATAGCCAACAACTGCATTCCCTCTCATTTCAAGTACCTTCAAGCCAATCTTCCTTTGCAGCTCTCCTGCAAAAGAAGTATATGCCAGTTAGCCAGAAATTAACTTAAAATATATTTGCAAGTTCTGATAATAAGACAAAGATGAGAACAGAAAAATGTATTCACATTTAGATAGCATGATTTATTCATTTTTTAAAAATGTTGTACTCTGTCATCCAGAAGTACATGGGCTTACGGACTGTTTCACCAGTTACAATTTTACAGATGCATAAAAATGTTTTATAGATGCCTATAGAACTGCTACAGGGAAGCTATGGCCCTTCCGATGTGGTTGGACTCATTATTCAGGTCTGATGAGCCTTCAACATCTAAAGGGCCACAGGCTCCCTTTCCCTGTAGTAGAAATAAGACAGATGCAGATATATGCTTATTTGCAAACAGGTTTCCCGTACACAGGTTAAATTCATGACAACTATATAGTCTGTGAAGTGGCCCTTAGTGTCTCTGCTGAAACTTTTTATAACCATGAAAATAGACGCCAAACATTTTTCAAGCCATTTTCTAATATATTATAATACTGATAAAATAGGAGCTATTATTCAAATTTGCTACACTTTTATTTTAAAACAGCACAATCCTCCAGAGCCTTTCTTCACATGCAGAGGAAGTCCCTAACTCACTGAGGGTTTGAGACCCATTGGCTACCCTCTCCTGGTTTAGACAGCTAGTCAAAGCTGGACCCTGGGTAGGGCTGCTGTTGCATGCTGACAGCTTCTAGGAGCAACAGGTGATGTATTAGTGCTAAACAAAACAACAATGGACAGTGTGTGTGTGTGTGTGTGTGTGTGTGTGTGTGTGTAATCTCTCTAAATATAAATATAAATTATGCCAGCTTCATTCCTATACTCATTTACTCAGTAGTAAACTAAGTTCAGAATAAACATAGATAGGCAGTGCTGAAATCCATTGCCTAGAAAAGAATTTAGAAAAGCTCTCTAATGTGCAAAATTGATCAACAAGAAATCTCTAGGGAGCAGTGTTAATAGTAGGCAAGTGCATTGAGACTGTAAACCCATCATTAGTACGAGACCAAAAGTGTTTTCCTGCACACTACAAGCAGACTTTAAATATATCTGTTGATGATTTTCTGTGGCAGGCCCAATTGTGTTGCTCTTGCATGTACTATGTAAGCATTCATAGATTGATGCAAAATTTGAAAATAAATGGACACTGAAACTTTAGCTATACAAAAGGATTACATCTTCTGTATAACAGGATGTAATTTAAATCATCTTTCTGTGTTGTTACGGATATTAGACACAACCTTCAAAACTAAATGCTTATGACCACACACCTCCTCCAAACTGCAACAGAACATGTCACAAAGGAAGCAATTTATAGAGCATGTGGAGGTGCTGGAAGAGCAAAAAGTAGAGAAATGGTGCAGAAATCCCCAATGTCCTTCAGAAGGACTACAACCCCCTCCAAAGGAGGCAATATTCCATCAGAAAGCACATAACAGATTTCCAACTTTTAAATACTGTAAATAATATACTTTCAGAAAGTAAAAAAATATTTTTGCTAAGTGCTAGAACTACTATAATTAGTAACAGCGCAAAGCAAACAACTGTAGGCTGAATCAACTGCCAAGTATATGAAAAAGAATCATTAAGCAGTTAAGAGCAGATCTTCACTCATTCAGCGTCTACACTGTTATTCTGTAAAGATTGCTTACATAGTTCAACATTTCAAAATGACCTTTGAAATTCCAACTTTCCAGGGGATACGTGGCTGCTGTATAATGTGAGCTAAAGTTTCAACACAGACTAGAAATCACCACCCCCAAGTTGCAATTACTGTATCTGTTTGTAAATTATTGCTATATTAAGTTACTGTATATGTTAACAAGTGAAATGTTTACCAGTTACTATTAATATGACTTTTTGTAGACTTCCTAATACCCAAGAGAGAAATTATTTTTATCTGTTTAAAATAAATGTAGAAATCATTTTCATCATAAAAATAACAAACTAGTTTACTGTATTTGGTTTTGTTTTGTTTGTAAAGTATGTAACAGATACCCAGTTCATTTAAAGCTGGTATTAAGGATCAGTGGCCAGGATTGACAACTGTGACAGGTAAGCTTTTACTGGCTGGTGAAACACCTGCATCATATCTCTAAGTGGAGGTGATTCGACAATGTGAGTGTCACAGCAGAGAAGGCCCTCCTTTCAGTCACGTGATGCAACTCTGCTGGACGTGCATGACTAGAAGGGCCTCCCACAATGATGAGCTGGTTTATACAGGGACTGAGCTGGTTTAAACAGAAGGCGGGCCTCAAGTAGTCTGGTCCCAAGCTGTACAGGGCTTTGTAAGAAGAGTAACAAAACGTTACAATCAGTTTGTCAGCAAACAGACAACCAGCACAATTCCTTTGGCACAAAAGTAATATGTGCATGGTAGGATAGTCCATCAAGCATCCTAGCCACTGTATATACCACCAAATCAGCCTCAAGGGCAACTACAAATAGAGTGCATTGCAATAATCCAGTCTAAAAGTTACTTGTTTTATTTACCAAGATTTATATGACTAACATCTACATAATTACTAATGCATTTACTAGCTTGTGGCCAAGTTACCTCTGCGGAGGAACTGGTACAGCTTGCACAACAGTTGCTGTTGGTGGAATGTCGTCCTAACCACCATGGCCATCTAAGTCTCCAGTGGCAAGGATTGTTCAGGAAGCAGCCCTGAACTACAAACTTGATACTTTTCTATTCTTTCAGGTAATGTTAACTATAAAATGTTCAGCTGGCTTTAAAACACAGTAATAAAATCTGCAAAATATCTCAACAGGAATTAACAGAAATGCAGAGCCTTTATTAGGTTCATCTGTGCGTGCCTTTTTCAAAGCAATAAATGATATTGTAATTACCTGACATTAATGAAATAAGCCTCTGCCTGGCCTCATTTGATGCCCTTGGTGTACGGATTCGGTCTATCCACTGATATTCTGGATCTTCATTAACCACCAGTTCCTCTACAAACCCATGAATGATTACAGCTTTGTAGCACTTTGGAATAGATGTAGCTGTTAAAAGCATAAGCACAGTGTAAAATATTTTATTATTTAGCACAACTATATACCACCTTTCCCACAACTCATTCCAGGCCGGATTATAATAAAACAATTTGAATGTGTTTTCTTTAAAAAAAAATATAATACAACCCCCCCCAAGCCATAAAACACAAAGATAAAAAGCTTACAGATGAATCATGCTAAAAATATCAGGCACTAAAAAGAAATTTTAAAAAGCACTGGTACGAAGAAGCCTCTTGGAAAGAGCATTCCATAGCTGGGGCACTACAGCCCCCCCCAAAAAGCCCCCTTGCTACTTTATACCCATCTCACCTCCAAAGGAGGCACTGGGAGTAAGGGATCGGAAAAGGATTGCAAAAGTGTGGGTAGCTTGGTATGGGAGTTGTGGCTCCTTCAGCTATCTGGATGCCAAAATTATTAAGGGTTTGAATATATGCATGTATGTTTGTATGTATGTATGTAGGGACGCGGGTGGCACTGCAGGTTAAACCACAGAGCCTAGGGCTTGCCGATCAGAAGGTCGGTGGTTCGAATCCCAGCGACGGGGTGAGCTCCCATTGCTTGGCCCCTGCTCCTGTCAACCTAGCAGTTCAAAAGCATGTCAAAGTGCAAGTAGATAAATAGGTACCGTAGTGGCGGGAAGGTAAATGGCGTTTCCGTGCGCTGCTCTGGTTTGCCAGAAGCGGCTTAGTCATGGTGGCCACATGACCCGGAAGCTGTACGCCGGCTCCCTTGGCCAATAAAGCGAGATGAGCGCCGCAACCCCAGAGTCGGTCATGACTGGACCTAATGGTCAGGGGTCCCTTTACCTTTTTATATGTATGTATGTATGTATGTATAAATCCATCCGCTTTGAATTTGGGATGGAAACAAACAGGCAGTCTCTTCTGGCACTTGTATCCTGCACCAACTGACTATTTTCAATCTAGAGAATATAAATCTTAAAAGCTTTATTTCTTTAGTACATCACTTATCTTATTTTTCACAGACAATTTTTTCCAACTATGTTTTTAGACTTACTGCAAAAAAATTTAACTCCACATGATGACTGTCTAAAACGATTTAAATCATTGAAGAGGTCTACTTTCACCACCACATTGATCTCTCCACGTATACCTGTTTGTAAAAAATATGCGAGAAAGTGAGAATTTGTATTAGAATAGAAAAATAGTCTTCCATGATTGCTTTAAATATTGGAATACCATTGTCAGCCCAAAGACTCCCAAGGGGGTTCAGAATTAATTAAAGAACAGAAAACAATAGATAATCTATTAAAAGATGGTAAAAACAGAGCCACAAAAATACTAAAAATCAAATAAGTACTCAAATGAAAACTAAACACACCACATGGATTGGGCAATGGGGGTACTGGGAGAGGATGTCCTTTCACATGTCACCAGATCCTTCCTGACTGAGGTGAAGTAACCTATAAAAGGGCCTCTAATGAAAATTTTAATAACTGGGCAGTTTCACTTAGCAACCGGAACATTCATATTCTGTATTTTAGTCCCAAATAGCACTGGAATATTCTTTATTCTATGGCATCACATATTATAGTATATCCATGATATACAACATGGAATACAACATGAAAGGTATGAGCAACTTTTATAGTGAATTAAAACTGTTTGGGAACCTGCATCTTGGGAAGATAAAATCAACCAGAGTCTGCAACAGTGTCAAACTGGAGAGTATGTCAAGAATAGATCTAAATAGCTGCAAGAAACCCTCCATAGTTATGTCCTAGCTGCAATGATGGCGTAAGCCTGATGTGAAGTAAAACCTACCGCTTCAGCACATTGCTTCACCACTCTGTGAACTCTAATCCCTTGAAACATGAGTCAAAGCCAGTAAGTTCATCAGGAAACTGATTGAGGAACACCCTTAATGACCCTATGTCATGCGCTGTATCCTTTTTAAAAGAGTACAGATCATTCCATAACACAGGTCTACTTAAAATAAAAGGCATTCCTTCCATAAATAGTTTTTTAAGGCAAGTTTTTAAGAAAATAATATGATGGCAAAATGTAATTTAAAGATTACACCTGGTATTCTTAAAATTATCTTAAAATGTTAAGAATAACTGAAGTGACCACATTAAGTATATGGTCAGAATTCTTTGATTTGTTTCTAAAATTAATTTAAATTAAATTTCTTTCCACAAGGTTAATGTAGACATATCAGTACTAATTGTTTATTATTGTTGGTTTTGTAACTGTTGTTTATAAAAACAGCATCACACACACACACAAACTTAAATTACACAGGGCAACTTCTAACTAGATCACTGACTTCTGCGAGTCTACTAACAACGAATATCACCCAAAATCTGTATCACAACAGCTATTACACAGCACTGTTTAGGTGTTGCTCACATATTATATTATACTATTTTTGTCCAGATTTTCAGGGATTTAGCATTGGAAGATTTGTCATCCCAGTGCTATGATCCATGGCAAAAGAAAAAATGGCATTAACTTTAAACACAACTTCTTTATTTGAAACAACATGTGAAACTGAAAGAACTCAACTGATGTCTCAGGAAAGCTTAAAACTATATTGTATTTTAAATGGCACAATAAGTCTACCTCAACGCTCCTAAACGATTTGCCAAATAAAATATGTTTTAAAACAATGTTAAAAATCTCACCGTGTATCGTATCATAAATTGGAAACCAGCCAGAGATAACTGTAGCTGCTTCACTGTAGAGGAGAGGATCAATATCAATGTAAACTTTTCCAATGGCATCATTAGCACTATAAGTATCATGATCAAGAACAGTTATCTGCAGAGGCTCATCTTGTAGATCTTCATCATCCACCTAGAAAATAAAAATATGGAGCTTCAAAATTTCACAAGGCAGAATCTGTATTAACAAAACCTTTATTGATTCAAAATTGCTAGTTTAAATTCCCTGTGGAGCATACAATAAAGATTAACATGAAACTGGTAGGGGTCTCAAAAACTACGAATTCCAAATGGTTCTGTTCAGATGACCACTACAAAACATCCACTTATGTTTTTCAACTAGTTTGTTTTTTTGTCTGAAATGGGAACTGCAATTAAGTTTTTGCTACAGTTTATCTAAACAATCCAAAATCAGAAACCAGTTTGATCTTCTCACTTTGGACAAACCAGATTAAACTAAGTACATTTTGTGCTGATTCAGACAAAATGAGGAGCTGCTGTTAGTTGAAAATGGACATTCTTTGGGCTTAATAACTTGCTTCTAAGTCTACCTTTTTTGTTGAATTTACCTCAAATTTAAACCATTCAGAATTCCATTGAGGATTGAGAGATTTGGGATACACATCTGTCTTAAATGTGGTGTTTCCAAACTTCACCTGAAAAATATACCAAAAAAAAGACAAATTGAAGCAAAATCTTGTTCTCCACCTTTTCCCAAAACTTACACTTTTAAAATAAAGTTAGTGCCATGCAATTGTTTTCAAACATTTGACAGACCATTGCTACATGTCTGTAAGGTGGGCCTTTAAATGTGATTGCCCTGACTTAACACTGTGAGTTCTTTGAAATTATAAAGCTGGGGAGGTGGAAATTTTTGTCCTGGTATGCCAAGTCACAACACCAACATCTAGATTGGCTCAAAGTTCCAAACCAGATAGTAACCAGCTTACATCTTCAATTCCAATGCAGCTAGTAAGCAGCTAGCACTTCTATCCCTCAGCAGTTAGTCTGTTATACCTCCTAAGAGACAGCAAACAACAATGCATAGGCTCAGAAGACTCTGGAGATGATTACTGAATGCACATGAGAGAAAACAGTGTGTGGTTTATAGCAGAACAGTGAGAATGAGAGAAAATGAGTTGGTGTGAAAGAAAATGGCTGTGCTTATATGGGAGATGAAAAGTGGGTCAGACAGTGAAAACAATATGCTCACTGTACAGTGTTTGTGGGTGAGCATGCTTGCAGATTCTACACATAATTATTGAACATGTGAGCAAGTGAAGGACTTTTACACTTGTAGATTATATCGTGAAAAATGAAAAACAAGGCAGAAAGAAAATTAAGATGTTCTTTGGGGGGGGGGGAATGTAGAGCAAGGTCCTTTCAGGATTCATCTCCCAACTACAGCTCCATCAATACACATGCAAACTAATGTGTAAGATGGAAAGTTTCTATTCACATACAGAAGAGAGATTAAAAACAAGTACTAAAGCTATTTAACATGTGTAATTTTCTAATAGATGCAACTTTGAAATCTTTAGGATTCAACTCATATTTAATCAAAAAGACTCAATATCCCAAAATTTGAGAGGAGCTTGTCTGGAAAATTAGCCAAATTAGAAAATTTCCAAGCATTTGATTACCTAGCTAAAACACCTTGGGCTTCATCCCTCAAACAACCATGAGACTGAAGGGCTTCTCATTCATTTTTCTGCCTCTCAGTCTCCCTACCTTGCCCATAGAACTCTGCCTATCTCTAGGTTCTGTAAAAGGCCAACTGCCCTTTAACTTCCCCCATGCTTTTGAACATTCTATGGCTAACAGCTTAATTCACTCAGGAGATAGAATGTTCATCCAACATTCATCACATTCCTATGGCTCAGCCAACATTGTCAGAAGCTTCATAACTGCTACAATGAAATAATTTAGTCTATTAATATACTGTAGGATCGCATCTTGAAGGATGTTCCAGGGGATGGCATGTAAAGTCAAAATCGTGTATAATCAAAACAACCTCCTGGAACTATCCCTGTGCAAGCAATCTTACTTCCAGAACCAGCACAAGATCTCACAAGGCCATCCAAGATCTCATGAAGGCCTCCAGAGCTCACAAGAGTTTCTCAGAGCCTGATAAGCAAAGCACAGAGCTTAAAGGCTCTTTCTGCACATGGTTTTTTTTTAATCTACAGAAGAATCATAGCTAATTTTAAACAGCTGAGGACAGGGAAGTATTAGGATTTATTTTGAAAACCTCAAAGAGTGATAACAAATTGTGGCATTCCACTTGCAAAGCAGACAACCACTTGCACAAATGTGAATTCTCTTCTCCCCATACTCCTTCAAAATATGTCTCTAGATGGCTGAGGCATCTCCAGAACTTGTTGGAAAAGGCATGGGATTGGGGAGGAAGAGAAAGGAGTCCCATTATGTCTGCTGGTGAAATGTTGGATCTCACTCGAAGAGACTAAAGGTTAGTTATTATACAGTATATCCTTTTCCTATTTGTATAATTGGAACACAGTTGGGAAAGAGAGCGGAACCTTTCAGATGACACAAGTCTTCTTAATGTTGGAAAGTTTAGGTGCATGTTCAACTCAGAGAACATGCAGTTTTTTCAGATGAACACAAAGTTTTCTGCATCAGACTTGTATCTGACCTTTCAGGCATTGAAAAAGGCTTGACTTCCAATGTTTCCACCCACTGCATTTTGAAGAGCAGAATACAGAACAGAGGCATTCCACAGTGTAGTAATAGTATTTAACATGGAAGATTAAAGGTCAGTATTTTAAGCACACTTTTGTACAAAAATAAGTGGAATTAATATCTTTCTATGTGATTATTTACATACGGTACATACATAATTTTTTTTGTATGCTGGCTTTCTGCAGTCTACAATTGTCACAGAAGTTTATAAACAGCTAAATAATGTGAACAACCATGCCTCCTTCAAGGTGGCCCAAAACGAACCCTCTGGTAAAGTTGTATTCATTACCAAATACACAAGAGCAGGCAAAGCCTCTCAGCTGGCTGTCACCAGCTAGGACAGAAGAAAGCCAGGAGAGAAAATTGTTCACCAGACTTCCCCAAGTACTTAGTTCACAACCTCAGGTGAAATCCATCACCCATGCAACTGCTAAGGGGACATCCTATACAGTTCCTGAAACTGGCTTGTTATCCAAGACAGATCATATTTCAAGCATATCAGAGTGAGTGATATTCGATTCCAAAGAATCACAGTCATCCAACTGTATCAGCCTCCTGTCTTTCCTAAGCAGCACTGCCAGATGGCATTCTGCAGTTGCAATATCAGTGGGAAATATTTCTTTTGCCACCACAACCACCATAAAATAAGCTCTTAAATGGGCTTTAAACCACATTTGGTTCACAATTGTGCCCTGAATTATCACCAGATGAGCTCTAACTGACATTGCAACTGATTTTAAAACACTGTAAATGAACTAGCAGTGGATAACAGAAATGACTTAAATCTAGTTATCACCTTTTTTGCAAAGGCTCTTTGTCTTTAACACCCACATGAATTCCCACATCACAGAGATGCCCTGATGGGGAAAAGCGGTACCTATGTAGAAACTACTTGTATGCCCAGGTCTCTGCAGGGCCGTCTTTACCCAGGGGTGCAAGGGGTGTGGAGCACCCGGGCACTGAATTCTGGGGGGTGCCAGGTACCCACCACTGGAGCCGCCTAAGCTCTTAACTACCTACCTGTTATGAAATAATAAATAATTTTGATCAAACTAGAAAAACAAAATACATATATACCTAGGTATTACCGAAATGTATACCTACTGTTTCACTAAAGGACTTTCGACTTTGTGCGTTCATTTACCAAAGATGCGCCGTGCCAGTGGCGGCGCTTGTCAAACTCAATGATGGCGCTCACAACTAAATTTGGGGGCGCTGGGCAGATCTTTGCACCCCAGCAGCACATATGCTAAAAACGTGCCTCTTGCCTCTGCATTGTCCAGGATTAAAGGTAAAGGTAAGGTAAAGGGACCCCTGACCATTAGGTCCAGTCGTGACCGACTCTGGGGTTGCGGCGCTCATCTCGCTTTATTGGCCGTACAGCTTCCGGGTCATGTGGCCAGCATGACTAAGCTGCTTCTGGTGAACCAGAGCAGCACACGGAAACACCGTTTACCTTCCCGCCACAGCGGTACCTATTTATCTACTTGCACTTTGACGTGCTTTTGAGCTGCTAGGTTGGCAGGAGCAGGGACCGAGCAACGGGAGCTCACCCCGTCGCGGGGATTCGAACTGCCAACCTTCTGATCGGCAAGTCCTAGGCTCTGTGGTTTAACCCACAGCGCCACCCAGTTAGTGCGCCAGCTGCACCTGTTCCTTGAGATTTCTGATTTGGCGAGTGACACCAAGCCTTAGTTATGTCCTGTTTGGGTTACTCTAATAAGCTCTATGAAGGGCTGCCTTTGAAAGGTGCTCAGGAAGCTGCAGCCAGATTGTTGACCGGGGCTGGTTATAGGAAGCATACGACTCTTTTGCTACAACAGCTTCACTGACTGTTTCTGTGCAAAATTCAAAGTGCTGGTTATCCCCTTATAAAGTCCTACACAGCTTAGGTCCAGGCTATCTGAAAGACTGTATTCCATCAAACAAACCTTTGAGATCTTCGGGGAGGCCCTTCTCTTGGTCCCACTGCCCTCCCAGGCATACTTGGCAGGGGCATCTGTGAGGGCTTTCTTGGTGGCTGCTCCCAGACTTTGGAGCTCCCTGCCTAGAGAAGCAAGTCTGTCTCCCTTCTTCTTTTTCCCAATTAATTTATGGGGGAAATTTTGATATGCTTTAAATAGAATTAAAACTGTATACATATATATAATCTATCGATGTTTGATAGGTTTTTAATTATTGTTTTTTTCTATGTTTTTATCAGTTCATATTATTATCTGTAAGCTGCCTTGGGTCCCATCAGTGGGAAAGGTGGGGCATAAAAATTAAATAAATTATTGTTGTTGCTGTTATCATTATCATCATTATTATTTCTGAACATTATACAAGTCTTAAAAACATAGAAGCTCTGTGAGGAAAAAGATGGCAAGTGTTCTCCCTACAATAAGCAAGCATAATAAGTGCATTACGTATAGAAGACTGCAAAGCAATTACTGTATTAAAGGCACAATAATTGTTATATGTGAGAAACTGACAACCCTAAACATGTCAATTGTCAATTTAGTACAATGAATAATAATTTGCTTACATGTCAGGCTCTTGTTCATTAAAGAGGTAGAAAAAAGCCCACCAAACATAGTCACCAGGACCACAAAACCAGTTTTCAATGCCTGAACTGAGCTCAGGGACAAGTTAAATAGTAAAGATAGCATTTCTGAGTATGAGCCAAGTGTTGTTCCATCACTACTGAAGAAACACAACCAACCCCTATCTATAGCTAATAAAAGGAAAGCATATGGTACAAAAAATATGAAATGACATTTTTCCTTTTTTAAACTAAGCATTGGGGAAAACAATTCCTTGAAAAATTACTTCAAATATTACATCAAACCATTTTCATGTAGACCTTTTATACTAGTACTGTATAAGAAATAAAAATCTTCATGTAGACTACTATGTGCAGCATACCGGGCAACTTCATATATTATGTTTCTTTACAAGTAGACGTGTTCTGCCTGTATGTGTACTCAAATATCTGTAACACACGTTTCTGGTCACATGCAAATACACATGCCAAGAGTGGCTCTAGCTCTCTGCCATAAGTGCACTGGCAAACACACAAGCACCTAGCATACAAGCCGGGAAAACAAGTTACCATCTATATCAGGCCTGCATGACATGCAATTCACCTAGTTGTATATAATCCTGCAGCCATGTCCTGTGAACTACAAGGTACTTGACAACTACTGTTTGTACAATTCTAGGCAAGAACTGAACACAGATTTGATCAAGAGGTTGGAGCAACAATATTTAAACTTTTTAGTTTAGAAAAGGCGAGGACATGGAAGAGGACAAAGACTCTTCCTCCCCCAGTAGCAAAGCATACATCAAATGGACATTGCAGGGGGCTGGACTAGATGACCCACTGAGCCCCTTACATCTCTGTCGTTCTATGTTTCAATGAAATTGCAAGACAATAGATTTTTGGTTGAATATTAGGAGATTAATGGCAAGAGGGGCAGGTGAGGCTCATCAACCTGGGAAGGTAGCCCATCTAGGAGACGGAAAATTGTAATCCTAAACCTTTGCTGCCTTGTGGGACATCTTTGGGAGAAAAAAAGGTTAAGGAGCAAACGCTACATAAATTCGGAGTGGAGTCCTTAAGACACTTGGATGGTGCCTTGTACGCCTCCTTCCGCCAACTCCTACAGCCAAGCTGATGCCAAACTAATAATAATAATAATAATAATAATAATAATAATAATAATAATAATAATTTATTTGTACCCCGCCCATCTGGCTGGGTTTCCCCAGCCACTCTGGGCGGCTTCCATAGAAACAAAAAATACACTAAAATCACACATTAAAAACTTTTTGCTCTGCTTTCCTTTGGACCAAGTCAGCGAGGCCGAGAGGGGGCTCTTGTCATTTGGGCAGCCCAGGACCTTTATATACACTGCCCAGGCTGTCACTCTGTCACTTTGGTGCTGCTAACACAGGAGTTTAACTTCACCACTGGAGGCGCACTCCATTAAGTCTCGACACACACAAATGTCAACAACAGAGAATACTGCTGTAATAACCTTACATATAATCTGATTAAGAATATATACATAAATGCTTGTTTTCTATTCAAAGTGGCCCTTTATAAAAACTTATTTAGAATTTTTATATCATTATTTTGCCTTTTCTGTCATATAGTGTATTCACCAATGTATGTGCTTTTCAAGTTGCTTGGGAGACCTTTCTGGGTGACAACCGACCAGTAAGTAGTAATAATGCATTGTGATTAGTAGCTTATTTAAGGTGTTCATACATACCACTTGCTTTTCACACAAGCCTCGCAAAGTGGTTTGATCTATTGAACGGTTTATTAAATAATCAAACAATAACAGAATATGGAAAAAAAACAGACATGCATACACACACGTGTGTATTTCACTGTGTGCTGTATGCAAATTTATGCAATTAATGTTTCCTGTTATTACTTACGGTGGGTGTGTTGTTTTTTTCTTAAATGTTATGTAAGATGATATACTGAAGTATTGTATGATTTCCCCCCTCCCCTTATGGTATTAAATAGGCGCATAATAATAACAATAATTTATTACTTGTACCCCACAGAGCTGGCTATATATTTCTGCAAGTTGCTTGGAAAACTTTGGGTGACAAGCGACTAGTAAATTTAATAAACAAATAAAATCAATTGCATTTTTGGCACCTGCTAAAAACATCATTTTAGAATCAGGTGATTCTAATTTGTTTTAGTATTTTAACTCTTATATGTTTTAAAGTAGGGTTGTGATTTTTTGTGTGAGAATTTTATCGTAAACCACTTTGAGGTGGTGGTTGTTTTTAACAATGGAGGTGGGGTGCTGAAAACGATTTCACAAAACTTATACACCCCTTGACTGTATTTATTTTTAACGAAAGCGCATTACAAAAAAATAAATAAAACAGGAATAATAACCCACCACCTTACAAAACGGGCTAAAACCACCTCGACTTCCCAAGCATCTGGGTAGTCTAAAAAGCGGGTAGGCTTTTTGTTTTGTTTTGTTTTTCTAAGCATGCGCGGGAAAGGCGCCTGCTGGACCTCAAGTGGCAGGGAGTTCCGAAGTTCTTCACAAACAGGAGGAGGGCGCCGCGCGGCGCCAGTCGAAGCGCCGAGGCGAGACGACCTCGGAAGCACAAATGGCCCCCGGCAAATCAATAAATGCGAAGAGCCGCAGGTGTATTGACCGGGGCCGAGCCCTGAGGAGAGACAGAGACCGAGAGAGAGAAGCCCCTCCCGCCTTCCCGCCCCTTCAAACCTCCACGAAGGCGTCTGTCAGGTCACTGGCTCGGTCCATGACGGGCAGGTGCCGCCCCGCCACAATCTTGACCTTCAGCTTCCCGGGCATCTTCCTTTCGCCTCAGTCTCCTCCTCCACCTCTTCACCTTCCGCCCAGGGCGGCTGAGGTAAAAGCCCGAGGCGGGCGGCCCATAGAGCGGAGGCTCCGTCCAAGGAAAGCGGTGGCCGGGGGGAGGGGGGGGGAGAGCGCAGAGAGACCGAGGCAGAAACGGTGTAAACGTCGCCCCTGCGCATGCGCATCCCCCGCGCGCGCGCACGGGCGCGAGCAGAAGGTACCCTCCCCAACGGCCCTCCCCGAGCGTATTAAGCACGAGGCTCTCCACCGCTTGGGCTGCGGCGGCTCCCTGCGCCTGCGCACTCGTTGAACAACATCGCTCCTCTTGTTCCCTTCACCCTCCCCGCCCCAGATGATTTTCCTTCCCTCAAGCCTGTTTTCCCTGTGTCTGCGCGTGCGCGAAAAGGAATGCGGTTACGACGGGTGACAAGGGACGATGGCGACTTCCGCGCAGGCGCGTTAGCTTGCCAGGCCTGTTGCCTCGGCGCAGACGCATTAGCAGGCTAGATGTCTCGGCGCTGACGGGGGTCGTTTTAAATAAATTATTTTAAGCGATTCTCGGGCCTCCACCCATTGAACCGCTTGTTTTGAGGTGGGGAGAAAGGGGCGCGTCCTCCTCGTAAACCCGTTATTTAAAACGGGGCGGATAAAGCGCGAGCCGTCGGTGGAGGCCAGAGCAGTGTCGAGCGCCGAGTCGTCGAAAGGAGCCCCGCTTGCGGTTGCCAAGGTTACCTTCCCAGGCCGCGCGGGAGAGCACCGAGCTGCAGATTGACGGGCTTTTCCATGCCTGCAAGCGGGGCTTTGTCGCTGCTGAGGCTGCAGCTGCGTTAAAAGGCCTCTTCACAGCCTGGAGCATACCTTTCCCGCCCGACCTGGCCACAGTGATCCATGCCACGGTCACCTCCAGGCTTGACTATTGTAATTCGCTCTACGTGGGGCTGCCCTTGAAGCTGACCCACAAATTCCAGTGGGTGCAGAATGCTGCAGCGAGGGTCCTTATGGGGTCCCTGCCATGGGAGCATATTCACCCAGTGCTTTTCATTTTATATATATATATAATTTTTATTCGTATAGTTAAAGCCATGGTTTTCCCAGTAGTGATGTATGGAAGTGAGAGCTGGACCATAAAGAAGGCTGATCGCCGAAGAATTGATGCTTTTGAATTATGGTGCTGGAGAAGACTCTTGAGAGTCCCATGGACTGCAAGAAGATCAAACCTCTCCATTCTTAAGGAAATCAGCCCTGAGTGCTCACTGGAAGGAAAGATCCTGAAGCTGAGGCTCCAGTACTTTGGCCACCTCATGAGAAGAGAAGACTCCCTGGAGAAGACACTGATGCTGGGAAAGATGGAGGGCACAAGGAGAAGGGGGCGACAGAGGACGAGATGGTTGGATAGTGTTTTTGAGGTTACCAGCATGAGTTTGACCAAACTGCGGGAGGTAGTGGAGGACAGAGGTGCCTGGCGTGCTCTGGTCCATGGGGTCACGAAGAGTCGGAAATGACTAAACAACAACAACAAAAAAATTTATTAGTTTTTTTTAACATATCATTTTCAACAGTAATTAAACATACTTTTACATCTTATTCAAATTTTTGACTTCCATCAATCCTGTCTGAAAATTTTCCAATCTAATCTCTCAGTATGCATTTCTTCCCTATTACATTTCAAACTCATAACCAATATCTCTATCTTTTTCTACTTTGTAATACTTCGTATATTTCTCCTTACAAAACTTCTTGTAGTCCTACTAGTGTAATTTGTTGATTACAGTTGCTCTTCAAATAATTCATATACTTCTTCCAGTCTTCTGTAAATCTCTGGTCCCGCAGGTTTCGAATCCTTCCTGTCATTTTGTCCAATTCTGCATAGTCCATTAATTTCGTCTGCCCACCCAGTGCTTTTCCAGCTGCACTGGCTCCCAGTGGAGTACAAGGTCAGATTTAAGGTGCTGGTTTTGACCTTTAAAGCCCCTCACGGCTTCGTACCTATGGGACCGCCTCTCCCAGTATGCCCCACAGAGGACCTTAAGGTCCATAAATAGCAACACCCTAGAGGTCCTGGGCCCTAAGGAAATTAGATTAGCCTCAACCAGAGCCAGGGTCCTTTCAACACTGGCTCCGGCCTGGTGGAACGCTCTTTCTCATGAGACCATGGCCCTGCAGGATCTGATTTCTTTCCGCAGGGCCTGTAAGACAGAGTTGTTCCGCCTGGCCTATGGCTTTGAGTCAATTTGATTTCCTCCCCCTCTTTCTTTTTTCCTTTCTCCTCCTGTGATGAAGCTGTGTTTTAATGTTTTAATGTTGTATTTTAATCTTATTTTTAAGTTGTATTCATTCAACTTGTTTTTATTGCTTGTTAGCCGCCCTGAGCCCAGCCTTGCCTGGGGAAGGCGGGGTATAAATAAAAATTATTATTATTATTATTATACCTCTCTCTTCCTGTACGAGTCTAGGCCTGCAAGCCACGTCGATTTCTGCTTGGGCTCCTCACATCTTGGTTGACAGCCTAATCCCAGGCTTGAAGATTCCATTGGAAGATGATGTTCTGTAATACTGTGTGTTTTGTAGCAGGTTTTTGGGGCTGCAGTACCTGGGCATAAACCCCACTGAGTTCAATAGGACTTGCTTTTCAGTTACCTGTTGTCAATATTTGCACGGTTAAATCTATTACCAAGTCTGTTGTCAATATTTGCACGGTTAAATCTATTGCCAAGTCTTTCTGTTTATTGCACACTGAAAACAAAACCTCTTAGTGACTTTCTAGCATGTTAAATTTAAACACTGGATGCAAAGTCTCCATGTTTCCTTGCGGCTTTAGAAAGCTGACTTCTGGTGTGTCGGGCCTTACCTGGTGGTAGCCAATAGCAGGCAGCTGTCTTAATTTCCCAGAATGCTCCAGAGTGATGCATTGGTGTGGAATTTACTTATGGGATGCAGTCAGTGACACATTGACCAACCAATGATCTATAACCAGGGGAGGGGGGTCGAGAGGTTAGGAAAGGGCCAAAGCATATTTAATTGGGGGTGGCTTTGCCTTGCATATTAGATTTCTGAAAGTGGAATTGCAATATAGGTTACATTCCAAGTCCTTTTAACTTGGATGGCCTTAATTTTAAATTAGTCAAAAATAATTACTGTCTTGCTTACCCCCCACCCATACACAGTGGTACCTCAGGTTAAGTACTTAATTCGTTCCGGAGGTCCGTTCTTAATCTGAAACTGTTCTTAACCTAAAGCACCACTTTAGCTAATGGGGCCTCCCGCTGCTGCTGTGCCGCCGGAGCATGATTTCTGTTCTCATCCTGAAGCAAAGTTCTTAACCTGAAGCACTATTTCTGGGTTAACGGAGTCTGTAACCTGAAGCGTATGTAACCAGAGGTACCACTGTATATGAAAAGCCAGTTTAGAAACACTATTTTATTATTCATTACGCTGGTGTTCCAGCCATCATCCCAATAAACTCAAGGCATTATGCATGGTCTCTTCATCTCTTAACTTCACAACAACCCTGTGAGGAACGTTACACTGCAAAAGAAAGAGAGTGGATAACTCAACAGCCACCTCCAGTATGTTCCTCCCAATGCACTTCATTCAATATATCCTCTCATCCAGTAGATGCTGATCCATGAAACGTGAATGGGGCTCTGCCCCGCCAGTCTCAGCCTGCCTTCTTTCTTACACCGATGAGGGTTTGGTTCTGCCTGTCATTACCTCTGGCTCTCTCTACGGTTGGTCTTCCTGATTTCTGCCCTACCAATCCTGATGGGCAGCAGCCTCCATGGCTCCTGTCAACTGAGAAAAAACACTTCATGCAGACCCTTGTTCCTAAAAGCTTGTGCAACGGTCCTATACAGATCTAGGCTTAATTCCCATTGAACTCATTGGAACCTGTGGCTGAGGATGTGTAAGATTGCACTCGAAATCTGTTCACCTTTAAGGTGTCGAAATACTCTTTGTTCTTCAATAGAACGACACAGTCTTCTGGATTTTATTGCTATAGAATCATTTATTAACAGTTTATAACTTAATTGTACTGACAAGCATTAAGATTTAGATGGATGACAAGGTAAGTTTGTTTAACATTAACACAATATTGCTGTATTGGCCTATCAGCTGTGAAACATCAGGCTTATTTACATCTTGAAGGGTATAAAAGAGGTTACAGCTGAAAGACAGTTACCATTCTGGTAAGAATAGTACTTTTGATTCAGTTTCTTTCATCTTCAGTGGGATAAGATAATACATATTGTTCTCTGACACCCACCCAATTTTATCCTTGCAACAACTGGAGGTAGGTTAGGCCGACAGATAGTAACTAACCCAAGGTCGCCCAGTGAGATTCATGGCTAAGTAGAGACTTAACTCTGGATTCCCAAGGCTCTAGCCATGTGTTTTAAGTTGTGGTGGGGAGGGCTTGTAGTATTAAATTCTGAAAACATCTATATGTATATGAATTACCTTTGGAGTACATTGTAGTGGTGCTACCAATATTAACAGCATATCAAAAACAAAAAAAGCACCTTTAGGACTGCAACTCTATGGCACACATAATATGCGGCAGAGTACGGTTTTTGTTTGTTTTGTGTTTCTGTGTTTTTATTGTCAACTGACTTGCGATCCTTGGATGAAAAGTGGTATAGAAATTTAAAAATGCATAATTACGGTATTTTTGTAAGATAGACTGTGGCAGATTGAGGGGACAAGACCAATAGTCGGTTCAACAGTCAAGATGGCGGTTTCTGCACATGTGGTAGAGGGAGGTAGGTGGTGTTCAACCTGGGAAGGTAGCCCATCTAGGAGAAGGAAAACTGATCCTAAACCTCCACTGCTTTTCAGGGTATCTTCAGAGGAAGAAAAGGCTCAGGAGTAAACCCTACACAAATCCAGAGTGGAGTCCCTAAGGCGGCTGGGTGGCACCTTGTACACCTCCTTCTGGCAACTCCTGCAGCCAAGCTGATGCCAAATGCTTTCATTTGGACCACATCAGTGAGGCTGAGAGGGGTGCCTTGTCGTCTGGGCAGCCCAGGCCCTCCATACACACTGCACAGGCTT